TTGCCGTTCGGCTTCCGAACACAAAACGTGGGTGTCGAATGGGAAGACTTACTCTCACCTAACATCCCTGCGTCGTGCTTCGCATGGGAAAAGGCGTCAATGACGTCGCACTGTTCCTTGGGCAGGGCCATTGGCGTGTTACGCAGTATTTGGTTCCCGGAACCAGGTCGATCTCACGTCGCACACCTCGGTCCGGAGGTAGGACTGAAGGCTGATCTTTGGAGACGACGTCTTGAAATTCCTTTACCAAAGGATAGCACGGATCCAAGACAGTCCATTTCGTGCGTTTAGCCTTCTCTTGGTGTCTTCCAAGACAGCATCATCCAGAAGCGATGACGAGTTTGTCTCCTCGCCCGGTCGTACAATGACCACATCGGCCAAATTGCCTGCTTTCAAGGCACTGCCAAACTCTTCAAGGGACATCTTGTCCAGCTCACAAAGAGCATCTACTGCAGGCATAGTCTCGAGGCGGACGTGGTCAACATCCTCCCCCGTCATACCGTTGACAAGGGTGTATTACTATGCGCCATCGTCTACGGTAGACACATCCCGGATCAGGGTCGACGCCCGGCGTCTTGCTGCCAGCATACGACGTCGCCGTCGCCTCTATACAGAGGTTAATGTCTCGGTGAGACCAGGGTGAATACGCATTCTGCGTCGTCCGGCGTCACTCTCAATGCCCGCTCCTTTGGAGCTCCGATGTTATCTACAACTTCCGACGAAGAGCTGCTAAACTCGCAGTCTTCGTCCAGTGGATGACGTGTCACTCCACGCGCATCTGAAGGGCCGTGCCCCAGAAGTCTCATACTCTGTCCGACCACGCCATCAATGGCATGCAGTGACTGCTTCGATACTCGAGCAGCGCTCAGTGGGTTACGTGCCACTTCATTTGCATCACGGGGGCCTCGCCCTCGATGCCTCGGCCCTTGGCCGACCATGTCAGCGCTCAGCGGGTTACGTGCCACTCCACGATCAGCCCGCGAGCCATGCTCGGTACTCCTATCCGATACAATGTTGGTGTCTACCAACTAGGACATTCCAATGCCCAGCACGTTGACCGTATCGATCCAGTGCTCTCGCCAATAGCGCTTTTGTCTCCTAGCAGAGGTGGGTTCATGACTTGCCAAAGCTCCACCAGGAGACGAGCGCGTAGCGCCCAAGGTGTTTGGCCTCCAATCAATCCACGGCTCATGTTGTTCCAACCATGCCATTCCTAGGACGAGGTCATACCTTGCATCCAAGTCTAAGACCAGACGGCGTTCCACGCTATCAAGGTTAAGGAGCTTGACTAAGAGGTTCACAGGGACCCTCGGGACCGTGACACTTGTGCCCGTCGCTAGGCGAACAGTGACGATGTCAACTAACCACGCTTTTAGCGCCTCAGCATACAGCTGACTTCCTTCCATTGTGGAGCGTCAAGCATAATTGCCCGACGCCCCGGAATCGATGAGGATCTTCCATGGCTTCTCGAAGCCCTTTACGGTCGCCTCCACGACCAGCAAACCCGGCTTGCATACAAGTTCCGTGTTCAAGAGCACGGGGCTGGGCCCTGCTGATATATGCCTCCCTGAGGCTCAACAGAACTCAGTTCTTCCCCAGTAGTTCGCCCAGCGCCTACTCGGCGGTGTCGTTTCCCCGCGTCGAACCAGACTGGTAGGAATTGGGGCGATGGTTCGAAGAACCTTGACGTGCCTTGCGCCGGGGGCAACCGTTTAGAAGATGACGGGTGCCTCCACAGACAAAACAGCATCGTGTGTTTGTCTGCTGCCTGGCAGCTCGGAGCTCTGCCCCTCGTCCTTAGCATAGCTGGGATCCATGGGCACAGGCCCACTCA